AGGAGAGACCCTCTGCACACTGGGGCCAGTCCTCCAGGACAGGAAGAAAGCTGACTTGTATCCAGGGAAAGCGTAACAGTCCTAGATTTTTGAAAAAATGCTGGTATGTTTTAATTCACTTTCTCTCCCCTACTGCTTATATCAGTTACTCTTTGCACAGTTTTGAAAATTGTTGCCTCTCCAAACAGTAGTTTTCATGGAGCACTGTGACCAGAGGGGGATCAGACATAGCCCTGCTGTCAGTATCTCATCCAGCTGCCTTTTCCTCAGAAAGGTGGAGCCTGCATGACCAGGGCCAGGTTGGTGAGAAGGTCCTGCAGTTTGGTGGGGTCTCAACTCAGGGGAGGCTGGTGGAAAGTGCAGCCAAACCCACATCAGCTTTGGAAGAGCTGAGAGAAGTTGCATACCAGCATCTCCTGCTTGCCATGGAAAGATGGGGATCTCATGAAGGTGGCTCTGCCTCCTGTTCTAGAGAGGATTTTGTATCTAGCTCCCTGTGACCCATGGAATCGGCTACGACAATGCTGCAGCCCCTCACTGCCCTCTGCCCTCAGCAGTGACAGTGTTGTGGAGTCCATCACCTGGTGTGCAAGAGACCAATCCATACACAGAGTTGAGATATTTGCTTTAATATCCAGTTCTGCAAAGAACAGGGAGCAGGGGATGTTCCACAAAGCAAACTCAGCTTCCCGAAACACAAATGCTACTTTTATACCCTAAAATATGAGAAAGAATCTCTAACATTAATATATTAATGTGGTGATTTAAATTACTCAGTGTATTTTCCCCCAGTACTCAAGGCAGTCCCCAAGACAAGCTATGGAGAGTGCTCCTTTCCATCCCTTCCATCTGTCCAGCAGGCCTGTCTGAAGGCCAGGCTGGTGACTCCTCGGGGTGTGTTTTTCTCTAATTAGAAACTGGTTTTGTCTAATTTTTACTGTTTCACTGTTACCTAGTCCCTGTTTTTATTCTGCATGTCCCTTTTGTTCTCTTTTATGTGATTTTTCCCCAAACGTCATTTCCCCCCCAACATTTTACTTATTTCAATTAATAACTGCCATCAAGAAGAGCTGCCTCCTGATGTCAGGGTGCTAGGCAAGGGTGGGGCATGGGAAAGGGGAAGTGAACATGGACATATGTCAGTGTGGCACAGCTAGGGTGCATTAATTTGATGTGAAATTAGCTGAAGTGGAGCGTGGGGGTCATCTTATGGAGGCCTTGTGCAGATGGCAGGGACAGCTCTGCTTCAGCTCTGCTCTACATCAGCCAAGATGTGAGAGGATTCAAGATGGGCTTGCCCCAGGAGTGGATGAATGGTGGGAATGCTGCTGCTGGCCGAAGTGGCCACCTCTGCTCACTGACATGATGCCTTCACATGGCTCCTGTGTGAGGTGGCAAGCCTAGCTTTTTGTAAACTGCACCAGAATGGTGTCCCTTAGCCTTAGATGGGAGATGCTGTGAAAACAAGCCTTCCTCCCTTTGCCTGGCCGTGAGTGTTTTTCACCTGCCATCATTGTGGTGCTTTCTACTCTCCTTGCTGAGAGGAAGGAGCAGAGATGCCCATCTTCCCTCTGGCCAGTCCCTCTCCTCCACCTTCAGGCCTGCAGAGTGGTCATGGCACTCACTCAGGTTGTTTCTTCCAGGAGCAAATACGGCGGCATTGTGTCTAGCAGAATGAAGTGTGAAGGGTGATTAAGGTGGTTGAAGTACCAGATGAAAAGCGAAGAAATAAACCCTTTTGTTCCAGGAAGATAGAGGGAGGAAGAGGAGAAGAAGTCATTGGGAAACTTGCTGCTTTATAAAAAGAATAAGGAAGAGACTTGTAGCTGTAGACTGTGGCCCCTTCTGTCCTGCCCTGGCAGCACAGGAGCTGAACAAAGAGGCTGGGCTGGGACTGCTGATGGAAAAGGGCCACCAGTGGCCTGTGACTGGTTCCTGCGTTGTCCTGACAGCAGTGGAAAGGCAGATCTGTGCAACTGGGGTAAAGGCAGACCACACTGGAGACCTGCTTGGGAGATAAGTGTTTCTGTAGTCCTTTTAACTCATATATCCACACCTCTGCCTTTGGTATTGGGCCTGTGTTTATACGTAACACATTTGGTGTGTTAAAAGCTCTTAGGGGGAACTTCTAGGAATGGTGACCTCTTTCATCTGCAAGGATCTTCTTGTCTGTACCATAACTTGCATTGTCTAATAGCTGAGGTATGTCAGAGCCCTGGCCTTGTTATACTCATTAACAGCTAGCTGGAAGATTGTCTCTGACTGAGGAACTACATCTTGTCCACTGCATGATTTGAGCAGACAGGCTGTGCAGACAGAAGCTTATTTTACTTAGCAGAGATGTGAGAGCTTTTTCAGTTGTAAATCGCAAGGTTTCAGTGTGGTTTGGTGGCACCGTGCCCTTATTTTTTTCCAGTTCAGGCTTCTGTTCAGAGCAGAACTTTCATGAACATTAAATCAAGGAGGATATGGCTTTGCCTAATCAAGTAATGAAAGCATTTCCAGGGACAGACATATCATCACTTGAACAACCTCTAGTGCAGAGCACTCTACCACATTCCTTCCAAATAAGTATTTTCTAGTGTCCATTTGTCTGCTTTATTTGGGATCAGCATCTCCCGCTGTAACAGATGCAGTCTGCTTATGTTGCACCTATTCAGGCAGTTCTGTGCTATGTTTTATCCAATAATTTTTTATTTTAATGCTGAGCTTTCTGCTGTGGCTGCATTATGTCAGGAGGGACGCTGTTTCACTGGGATTATTTTTGCCAATTTTATGACATTCCCAGTCATATTTTGTTCTGCTGTCTGAATTGTAGGTGGTTTGAAGTCCATTCCTGTGGTAGCTGAACCTAAATTCTACAAGACAGAGAGCTTTCTTTCCTAAGCACTGTCCAAACTTGGCCATTTAATTCCTTTTATTTCCTTTATTCCTAATTCACCATTAACATTTTACAGGTAGTCTGCATGGGATGTCAATATCTTGCTGTGTTCCCGCTCTCCTTAGGAATGATACCACAATATTAAGCATCTCCAGTGTGCTTGGTGACTTCTTTCTGCAGAGGAGCATTGCACCTCCAGACCACACATACTCTCTCCCACATCAGGAGCAGCTTAGCTAGAAGTTCCTTGGAGCTAGGCAATTAATTCCCTTTTGGAAATACAATATTCCTGTTGTAAGAAGGAACCACTGCATCCGGAAAGTATAGTGATGTTTTTTCCTGGTGTGGGTAAACCTAACCACTGAAGCTGTAACGAGCGTGAAGTTGTCTGAGAATGCTGTACCTCTGGGGCTGTTTGAGGGGCTAGCCAGTTGCATCTAACCTCAGCTTTCTTTCTGCCTGTGAACATTGCTTGTTCCACAACTATCTTTTTAGGATTGCTGCTTTCTTTTTCAAATAACTAGCATTTCTGTGTTTTTGTTTGGGATAGGTAGCCCTCACGGTATCAGAGAGTGTTTGCCCCTGTTGTTTTCTGCACGAGAAATTCAACCAACTGAGAATATGGACAAGTGCAGGGTAATCATAGGTAAAACATGCCAAGATAAAAGTAAGCAACAAAAATTACTCTGAAAGCAACTGGGATTGACTTTTTTACAGGCATGTGTATTTGTCCAAGGTGGGGTTGACTCTGAGCTGTGCCAGTTGGTTGGAAGGAGGCAGGGAATAGTACAGAACTTGTGTCCTAGTATTTACAGCCCAAATCTTTCAGTGTGACGTGGTATGTGAGCTTTGTGGATATTTGTGTTGGTGGGTGCTTGTAAAGCTCCAGTTTGACTGCCCAGGATTGAGCAATACAAATTCCTAGTATTTAATAGTAATCATGGCAGGATGCAGTATTGTGACAGCAACAAGGACATTTTGGTTTAGAATTGCTTAGACCCCTGCTTGTCAGGTGTTGAAGCACTTGGCTTCCTGCCATGAAACGCATCCTTTCCTTCAAACGCTTACCCAGGTGAGTGAGCAGCCTAAATCTTGCTGTAACTCAAAAGCTGCTTTGTTAGCTTCCCCTCTCAAACTGGAGTATCACTGATCCAGCATCACAGATAATACCATTCACCTGATGTATGTTGAAGAGATGGATATGGCCCAAGACCAAGCCCTCTCCCAGGCTTTGCCCATACTCCCTGCTGATTGCATGAGGTGCTTTTTTACACATAACTTTCTTGCCTAATCTTCATTTATCTTCCTTCCTTTGGGCAATAGGATCTTCTTACCTTTCCCACCATGTGCCTTTTACTGTCTAGGTCTTGTGGAAAGAGCAGGAGTTAACAGTCTGAATTGCGTTTTCTGCCCAACACTGGTAGTTTCCTTTTGAAATCAGTTGCATCAGTTCCACTAAGTTTCACTGCTCTCTGTGAGGATGGATTCTTGTGTTTAGCATGCTCTGTGTATCTCATTTAAACACCATTAAGATGCTGTTTGTCAGAGGGCTGTGATGCAGTTATAAACTAGACATGCAGACCATAGTCAGTGGAAAAAAAACAGACAGGTGGATGTAATATTGTAACTATTTCTGTGTTCTGCCAAACATCTTTTTTCCCTTTATGTGAGCAATATCTAGACTAGTTTTTGGTCCTAAACCACTTGAGGACTCAACAAAGCATGCATCCAGACCAGCTCATTCACTCACCACCTTTCAGGATTTCCTGACTCGGATGTATCTTTCATACGTCCATAGCTCTGTGCCACCGGAATTCATCTTCTCTTAAACTTGCTGCCACATGGCCCTGTCCCAGCAGTAGGGACTTCTGGTGCCTGCACAGCCCAGCTGGCTGGTGATGGAGAGAGCTGTCATATCTCCTCTGCACTCCCCTCTCTCCATCAGAGATGTGCAATGTCTGCGAAGACAGGGCATGCCAAAGGGATGAAGCCCTGCGGAGAAAAGCACGTCTGCCGCTTGCTGGCTGAGGGTTCCTGTGAGGACCCCAAATGGGGGATGGGGCGAGGGCAGCGCGGGTCTGTAAGGCTGTCACGGGACGCTGTGCTTCTCTCCTTGCAGATGTCGTGGCACCCGCAGTACCGCAGCTCCAAGTTCCGTCACGTGTACGGCAAGGCTGCCAGCAAGGACAAGTGCTACGACTGCGTGCCCATCACCCGCAACGTCCACGACAACCACTTCTGTGCCGTGAACCCCCACTTCATCGCAGTGGTGACCGAGTGTGCAGGCGGGGGGGCCTTCCTGGTCATTCCAATCCACCAGGTGAGCTCCACAAAGCCAGGCTGGCTTTTGAGAATACATTGAGTGGCTGGAGGAGAGCTGGGCTTTCTAGGGAGCTAGATTGCCCAGATGATACTCAGTTAATGCTGTTACCTGAATTGCAAAATGATGGGGCAGATACCAGATGCCCTGGGAGGTGATTCTTGGGATGGGTGTATTTACACATCTTACGTTTCTGCCTGCAGTTTTTTAACACCTTCCTTAATTTTCTACCTCATCTGTCTATCTTATATAATCAACAGGATCTGTGCTGTTCAAATGTTTGTCTCCTAGGAGAAATGGTGAGTAAAAAAGCAGTTAGTAGGTACAGAGGGTGAAAATTGAAAGCTGCTTTAGTGGCATGTCTTCAGCTGTGACCAAAGGAGAATATGTTTTGCTTTACATTCTCCTTTGTGAAAGAATGGAGACATGGTTATCAAGCAATGAAGCTCTTTATTTTCAAGCACTGATTCTGGAAAAACTTCCCTTTCAGAAACAAATCCACTGTGTATGGGTTTTGATGACTTAGCAATCTGATGAGAGGGAGAAGCTGGCTGTCTGATGTTTATTGCTTCAGAAAAATTAGGCATGCACTAATGCGGATTAACTTCAATATGAGATTATGAGCTCTCTGGAATCAGGGCAGAACAGATGAAAGGCAAAACTTTGGCCTTTAATTAAAAATTAATTGGCAATGTTATTGCAATGCCACTTTTTCAATATATATTTGCTAAGCGTGAAAGTTAACTGGCTATGCTTGAAGAACCTAGCACAGTTCCCTGCCCTTCTAGACGTTTATTCAGCTCCTTCACCACTTTTGCTGTTCAGAGAGAGTCCTCCTAAAATTAACCACTACCCTGTTTTTCCTGACTGAGTCACTTCTGCCCCCTTGAACGTGAGGCTGAAGAGCTTGTCTTTATCACAGAGCTGCACCTTTGAGCAGGCAGCTGGTGAGTGTGGGACCCAGCTCTCAAAATGTTGGCAAAATGAGCTGGAGGTCCTTGCACTGCTTACTATTAATTCTTCAGTCTTTTGACCTCTTCTCATCTTGAATAGTCTTTAGCAGCAATTCTTCCATTCTTAACACCTGCTCAGATGCTCTGTTCAGAACGGAAATACTGCTTGCAGAAGTCAAAGGCGTGGTAGATCTAGAAGGTACAAAAAAGGATCAAGGTACATCAATGAAAATGTGGAATTGCTTTAATGTGAGGAAAGACTTTGTAGGTTAGTCCTCAATTATTCTGGGAAAAAAAGACATGAGCAAGATGAGATATATGAAACTGTGAAAGAAAACTGTGAAAGGTGGGAAAGAAACCTAAGGAGCCATTTTTCTTTATTTGTGTGGTGAAGGGGGTCCTGGAGACCAGGGAGCAGCCCATTAGCAGTGAATATGAATGATTCAGCAGTTCAGATTTTGAGCTTACTGCTGTAAAGATAAGGGGCTCAAAACAGGATGGAGTTATAGAGAGGAGGTGGGGTATGAACTGAGTTTGTTCAGATGCCTGTTCTCTAGTTCAGGAAGGCCCTTGTGGGTTGACCTTTAGTGGTGGATCAGGGAAAGGATCTATCTGTGCTGCACTTTGTACAGCTGTTCTCTGAATACCTGTTCCTGATCCTTGCTGTGGAGGGGAAGCAGTCTCAGCTGCCTACAGGAAGAGGTTCCCTGAGTCTGAGGGCTGTGATACCAGTTACATTTTAATGTTACACTTCCAAACTGGTGCCACCTAGTGAAAAGTGGCAGCCTTAGACTTGTGCTCCTGGTAGTGTTACTTGTGGCTGCCACCTCCTCCTGTGGTTGTGACCCATGACAGCAGACTGGTCTCCCGAGCCTCCAGCTGCCGGAGCACCAGAGGCAGCCTGATCTGGAGACGTGTTCATGGAACAGCATTATCCTCTCATGAGGGACAGCTGATCCATGTTTACTTTTGGCTGGATTCACAGGGAGTAGCCACATCCCAAACATGCCTCAGTATGGAGAAAAAGCCCAGGAGCCAGGGTGTCATGTTTTGCCAAGCAGGAGGTGGTAGCTGGGACAGGGAAGTCTTCACTTTACAGGGGGGATGAATAACCTGCTTGGGGAGATGCTCTTGTCCCTCCAATGCTTGTTTGCATCCATTTTGAATATGCTACTGGACGGGCTGCCTGGCTCAGGGTGTGCACAAATGCAGGCTCAACCACACTCCATTTAACTGTGCCTCCTTGCTTGTTTGATGTGCTTCTCTCCTGCTGAGTCATGGACACTAACCTCTCATCTCTCCTTGAATAAATACCTTCCCTGCCATTCTTCCACTCTGAGAGCCTTGGGGGGGGGGGGGGAAGGAAGGTTGGGAGCAGCCTGATTCTGGAAAAACTTCCCTTTCAGAAACAAATCCACTGTGTATGGGTTTTGATGACTTAGCAATCTGATGAGAGGGAGAAGCTGGCTGTCTGATGTTTATTGCTTCAGAAAAATTAGGCATGCACTAATGCGGATTAACTTCAATATGAGATTATGAGCTCTCTGGAATCAGGGCAGAACAGATGAAAGGCAAAACTTTGGCCTTTAATTAAAAATTAATTGGCAATGTTATTGCAATGCCACTTTTTCAATATATATTTGCTAAGCGTGAAAGTTAACTGGCTATGCTTGAAGAACCTAGCACAGTTCCCTGCCCTTCTAGACGTTTATTCAGCTCCTTCACCACTTTTGCTGTTCAGAGAGAGTCCTCCTAAAATTAACCACTACCCTGTTTTTCCTGACTGAGTCACTTCTGCCCCCTTGAACGTGAGGCTGAAGAGCTTGTCTTTATCACAGAGCTGCACCTTTGAGCAGGCAGCTGGTGAGTGTGGGACCCAGCTCTCAAAATGTTGGCAAAATGAGCTGGAGGTCCTTGCACTGCTTACTATTAATTCTTCAGTCTTTTGACCTCTTCTCATCTTGAATAGTCTTTAGCAGCAATTCTTCCATTCTTAACACCTGCTCAGATGCTCTGTTCAGAACGGAAATACTGCTTGCAGAAGTCAAAGGCGTGGTAGATCTAGAAGGTACAAAAAAGGATCAAGGTACATCAATGAAAATGTGGAATTGCTTTAATGTGAGGAAAGACTTTGTAGGTTAGTCCTCAATTATTCTGGGAAAAAAAGACATGAGCAAGATGAGATATATGAAACTGTGAAAGAAAACTGTGAAAGGTGGGAAAGAAACCTAAGGAGCCATTTTTCTTTATTTGTGTGGTGAAGGGGGTCCTGGAGACCAGGGAGCAGCCCATTAGCAGTGAATATGAATGATTCAGCAGTTCAGATTTTGAGCTTACTGCTGTAAAGATAAGGGGCTCAAAACAGGATGGAGTTATAGAGAGGAGGTGGGGTATGAACTGAGTTTGTTCAGATGCCTGTTCTCTAGTTCAGGAAGGCCCTTGTGGGTTGACCTTTAGTGGTGGATCAGGGAAAGGATCTATCTGTGCTGCACTTTGTACAGCTGTTCTCTGAATACCTGTTCCTGATCCTTGCTGTGGAGGGGAAGCAGTCTCAGCTGCCTACAGGAAGAGGTTCCCTGAGTCTGAGGGCTGTGATACCAGTTACATTTTAATGTTACACTTCCAAACTGGTGCCACCTAGTGAAAAGTGGCAGCCTTAGACTTGTGCTCCTGGTAGTGTTACTTGTGGCTGCCACCTCCTCCTGTGGTTGTGACCCATGACAGCAGACTGGTCTCCCGAGCCTCCAGCTGCCGGAGCACCAGAGGCAGCCTGATCTGGAGACGTGTTCATGGAACAGCATTATCCTCTCATGAGGGACAGCTGATCCATGTTTACTTTTGGCTGGATTCACAGGGAGTAGCCACATCCCAAACATGCCTCAGTATGGAGAAAAAGCCCAGGAGCCAGGGTGTCATGTTTTGCCAAGCAGGAGGTGGTAGCTGGGACAGGGAAGTCTTCACTTTACAGGGGGGATGAATAACCTGCTTGGGGAGATGCTCTTGTCCCTCCAATGCTTGTTTGCATCCATTTTGAATATGCTACTGGACGGGCTGCCTGGCTCAGGGTGTGCACAAATGCAGGCTCAACCACACTCCATTTAACTGTGCCTCCTTGCTTGTTTGATGTGCTTCTCTCCTGCTGAGTCATGGACACTAACCTCTCATCTCTCCTTGAATAAATACCTTCCCTGCCATTCTTCCACTCTGAGAGCCTTGGGGGGGGGGGGGGAAGGAAGGTTGGGAGCAGCACAGATTATGCAGGGAAAAAGCTCTCTGCCACAGATACCCTCCTTTCAGCAGGCCTTTGCATTCAGCTGGAAGAGGAATTAGTTGAATATTTGCCACCGCTTGGAAAATGGTCAGCTAGGTCCTCATGAAGGTCTGCCATTGAAGCCAGCTGGGTGGAATGGCAGCACATCTCTCCAGGGAGGGAAGTGGCTATGGCCACAGGAGCTGCCTGGTGCCCCGAACAGGCCAAATGGCTTGGTAAATCTTTCAAGTCCGAGGAGACACAGGGTTGGTCACTGTACCTGTGAGATGAGCTGATTTCCTACAGTGTGGCAGGGGTGTAGGTTGGTGTCTGACACAGCCGGGTTGGGAAAGTGCATGCACCGTGTACCAAGGAAGGATCTTGACTCTGAGGGCAATTTTATGGCCTTCCTTTGAAAGACAATGGTCTCCCTTTTTCCTTCTCCAATAACCAGATTTGATTACTTGACTACCTTTGTGTCTTCCTTTGCAACATAAAGCAAAGGGATATCAAAATGAAAACGAAGTCTCTAGAGACAGGGAGATATTTGTGTCTGAGTCCTTGGTGTCTCCAGTCTTTTAATGTGTCAGCACCAGTTGTGAAAGGGAGCACATACATGGTTGTGTAGACCTCCTAGAGAGAAACTCTGCTCCCTTCTCTCTGGGGGCTTGGACTATGAAATTAAACCTGTGATGAACCCTCAGGCCTTACATAAGTAACACCATATATGAATGGTGTACCGTGATGTGATAACAAGGTGTGTTAGGGCCCTCTGGAGAGCACCTGAGTGGTGTGGGTGACCCATCTCATCATAATCTACCCTGTACAAATCTGCTGGGAGGGTTGTAACACCTGTCCCACTAGAAGTGTTTTTTGTCAAGGAACTCTTGTGTTTGCCTACTTTTAAAAAATGCTGAGCATTTATTAAGTGAGTGATTGAAAAAATATTCATTGTCAAGCTCTGCAAATAACTGTGTCAAGTACCTTTCCATGAGTGACAACAAATGGGTTTGATGGGTGGACTGTTCAGCGAGTAAGGAATTGGCAGGATGGTTGCATCCAGAGGTTGATGACCCAGATGGAAAATGGTGACAAGTGGTGTCCCTCAGGGGTCTGTAATGGGACCAGTGTTGTGTAATATCTTCATTAATCATTGACAGTGGCATTGAGAGCACCCTCAGCAAGTTTTCTGGTAACACCAAGCTGGGTGGTATGGTTGAAATGCCAGAGAGATGGGATGCCATCCAGAGGGACCTGGACAAGTGGCCCAGGTGAACCTCATGAGGTTCAACAAGGCCAAGTGCAGGGTCCTGCACCTGGGCCGAGGTAACCCAAGATATGAATACAGGCTGGGGGAGGTCACACTTGAGAGCAGCCTTGTGGAAAAGGACCTGGGGTTGCCAGTGGATGAATAGATGGACATGAGCCACCAATGTGCAATTGCAGCCCAGAAGGCCAACTCCATCCTGGGCTTCATGAAGAGAGGTGTGGCCAGCAGATCAAGAGAGGTGATTCTGGCCCTCTGCTCTGCCCAGGTGAGACCTCACCTGAACTACTTTGTCCAGCTCTGGAGCCCCCAGCACAAGAGGGACCTGTTGGAGTGTGTCCAGGGGAGGGCCATGAAAATAATGAGAGGGCTGGAGCACCTGTCTGATGAAGAGAGACTGAGGGAGTTGGGGTTGTTCATCCTGGAGAAGAGAAGACTCCAGGGGGACCTTATAGTGATGTTCCAGTACCTGGAAAGGAGCCTGTAGGAAGTCTGGGGAAGACGTGTTAAGTAGAGCAAGTAAGGCTAGGACAAGAGGTAATGGTTTCAAGCTAGAGAAGGGTAGATTTAGGTTGGATGTTAGGAAGAAATTCTTTAATAAGAGGGTGGTGGATCAGTGGAGCAGGTTGCCTAGAGAGGTGATGGTGGCCCCATCCCTGGAGACATTCAAGGTGAGGTTTGATGGGGCTCTGAGCCATCTGTTCTACTGAGAGATGTCCCTGCTTATTGTAGGGGTGTTGAATTAGATGACCTTTAGAGGTCCCTTCCAACCCAAGACATACTGTGTTTCTATGATTCTATCTGTCATGTAAGTTGGTTGACAGCCTGAAGGTTCGTTTGTGGTGGGCCATACCTTTTCCCAGGGCTGCAGAGTTGCATCAGAACAGGTGGAACTGATGGCTAAGAGGGCACAGTCTCCATTTCCAGGGTCAAGTGAGCCTTCTGGGGATGTGGGAGTAGCAGGATGGAGAAGGCAGTGGGAGCTCATGGCAGCCTGGGAGTCTCCCAAATGGAGTGGGGAGCAGACAGGCAGCCCGCTGTGGGAGGGGATGGAGTTCCCATAGGGATCAAGGGAGCCCTGTGGAGCTGGCTGTCCAGCCTGTTGAATTGCCAGCTGGAAACCAAGCCCAGAAGCCTACAAAAGGACACTGTGGGCGGGGGAAACACTGCTTATTAAAGGCCTTTTATCTCTGTTCTGCCTTCCCAAGTCACTTTGCATTGTCACTGTTATAAAAGGGCATTGTTTTAGACTCTAGTCTAAAAAAGCACAGTATTTTACACTTCAAAGCCCTCTGGGTGTTCAGTTTAAAGCAGGTTAGTCCCAGTCTATGTGACAAACCTTCCAGTGAAGCCAGAATGGTTACATATTGTGTACTGTTCTACATTTAAAACTACGCTTTTTCAAGGCTGGGAAAATTGCATCCTAGCCACATCAAGGTTAGGACCAGCACTGATTCCTCTCTGCTGTGCACTCTGAAGGCCCACCTCAGGAGGTGTGCAGGGAGTACACCAACAGAAGTGTCTGCTTTCCAGGAGAGCACACATTTGCATTCATTTTGATTTATGGTTCTTCCAGATGCAGTAACAGTAAGCAGGTAAGCATCATTAGCTTGCCACTACATCTCTGTCCTTAGGTGACTGACTTGTCTCTTGGACAGATGTCTGGGTTGCAAGGTGGATCCTGGAGCTGCCCATGCTTCCTCTGCTCCTGACAGGGAGAAAGAAGCAAGTGCTGCCCCGACGTCAATAAGTTCCCCGACACCCTTCCTAGCACACAATAAATATACCCGTTTAGTAGCAGAGGTTGTAGCTGCGGGTGTAGGTTTATCATGGTGCAACACAGCCCCCATGTGGCATAAGGCCCTCAGTACTCCTTAGTGCCCTTTGTGCAGGGTTTTTACTAATGAAGATGCCACCCAAATATGACTTTTTTTTTTTTTTTTTTTTTTTTTTTTTTGAGGAGTCCAAAATGCTGATTGAATCAGTGAATGGCTAGATTTGAACAACATGGGAGGGAAATAGATTGTTGAAAGAAAAACTGCATCTCTAATTTGTGTCACCAAAAAACATAATAATCTAGATGCTAGCTGAGGAGGGTAAAAAACAAAAGCTAGAATATTTTTTCCTGCTGTAAGAAGTGCCTTCTGAAAGAGAGTCTGTGTCTTTTTTTTCCTCAAATATCTTTAAAAAATGTGAAAGATTCAGCACATTCATAACTGTTTTCCCTCTAAATTTTATTTTGATCTGAACCAAATGCTATCTTTTAACTTAAGCTGTCTTGTTTGCTGCATGTGTACAGATTTCTTGATAGCAGTGTCTATTTAGGAAGGCCTGAGCACATCTGAGCACATCATTTGTCTTGCAGGGACAGTAAAAGCTCAATTCTCAACAGACAGAAAGCACCCAGGGCGTTTGGAACATAAGAAGCAGAAACAGGTTTTTTGCTGGAGCTGGCATGGCTCTTCCTTGAAAATGTTTGTAATTCTGTAACTCAACTTATATTTGATGGTATTTGTTTTTTTTCTAGACAGGCAAGCTTGACCCACATTATCCCAAAATATGTGGTCACAAAGGGAATGTTCTGGACATCAAGTGGAACCCGTTCAATGATTTTGTAATAGCTTCATGTTCAGAAGACGCCACAGTAAGTTTATCAGATTGCACTCCATATTATTACTTGCCTAATACACTTTTTGGGGAAGGAAAAAAAAGGAACCAAAAGGTCCATCAATGAGATGTGAAAGCATATATATATGCTTATCAAAAAGTCAGGTAAGAGTAAGATTTCTTTCTTTCTCTTGAGAGCAGGCCTATGTGATCCCTTCCAGATCATATACCAAAATCAGTGTAAGGAGGAAGATGTGTTTTGTGGGGGTCTGTGTCTCTTTGGGTGTGTTTTTCTTAGAAAAACAGCACATGAATTAAAAATGAAATTACTATATTTAATCACTATAGAACTCTTCCTTTACTTTAGAATAAAAGCTTCAACACAATATAATCTGGAGCAGCTATTTCAGATTAATTCCATCAACATCAAGTTTGATCTTGGTTCTGCACTCATTTACTCTGTAAAGTCAAGCTGGATCAGTTATGGGATAGCTGAGGAACTTTTATCAAACTATTCTGCAAAAAGTGTTTTGTCTAAAGCTAGTATAATTGAGATGCAGTAACATATTTTACTCTGGTGTAGGTGCAGACTAATTGGAAGTTTGTAAAGGACAATTTAGGCCATGTTTACCCACTGAAAGGTTGCTTTCCATGTCCTGTCAAAAGTATCATGTTGAATTCTTTGGTCGTGAAGACATCTGACAAACTACTGTGCTTTGTTCCAGAGATCCCACACATGTTTTCTCCCACTAGGTATATTAATTTTCTGCCACACAGCATCAAGAAGATTTCCTTTGTTCATTCCTCCAGCCCTGGCTTGGTGCACACCGCCTGCCATTTCAGCTCTGCCAAAAATCACTCCTCAATTGGACATCTAGGCTCTTTGAATTGGCCTTCCTGCCTAATGACTTGCCTTTGCTTCCTTGGATATTGATTATTTTGAAGGCTTCTTTCAATTTCTGGGCTGCCTGTGAGGGTTTTATTTATATTCAAACCTATATGGCAGGTTTTCATGCTGTCTCAAAAACAACTTGTGGCAGGAAGACACTGGATTCTTCTTCCAGGAATTGAGTACCCTTCTAGGGAAAGTAGGGTTTTTTATCTCCAGGAATTGCCCATGTTGCCATTTGAATCTATTGCCTTTGGTGCTCTTCTTGTGCACCACCAAACAGTCTGGCTACATCTTCTCTGTGCCTTCCTGCAATGTAGTTGAAAGCAGCCAGAAGATGTCACCTTTGCCTTATTGTTCCTGGACTGAAGAAATTCTTAACTTTTTTTCTCTCCTCAGATTTGCTGTGCTCCCATCCCCTTCTTATCTCAGAGGCTGCTGTTGGACTCACTTCATGGGGTCAACATCTATCTCACTTGCTCTGCCTTGTACTGGGGAGCTCAGATTGTATATACTGTTGGGACATCTCCACAGCAACACTCTCTCTGTCCTGAGAGAAGTATGAGGGAGTTTTTGGGGTCCCAGAGGTGTCTGCTGCTTCCACTGGGCTGGACATTAGAGCCAAACCTTTTCTTGCACTTGGTTGTTAAATGCCTGGTCCTCTCTGCTCTTTTTGAGCCTTAGCATGAGCCACTGTTCTGCTTGTGTGCAAGGATGCATCCAATGCTCCTACTGAGCTGGGTCTCCTTGGAACTTTTGAGGAAGGCCAAAAACTTCTGTGAAGATAGTAGAAATTTCCCATCACTCACATTCCTCAGAGGTATCTTGGCCATTAACCAGCCTTTCTGAAGTCTGCCTTGGTGGCATCACAGCTGTCGTTTGTGGCATGTAGCTGAAGTATGGAGAGGGGGCACAGGAGAGGTTGAGTAGCATTGGCAAATGCATTAGGCACATATAAATTCAGCCTGCTGAATATCATCTCCCCTGTGGTTAGAGGGGCAACTCTGTGCCTTTTTACTTTGTCAGGTTTCCTTCAGGATGCAGAAAGGTAGACGGCTTGCGGATGGTTCCTGCTTGGCCTGGCAGGTCTGGCTCCAGGATGTGCTGCTTCTTGTACATTAATCATTGGCAATTTCTGCCATTTAATGCATCCAGAGATTCCAGTCAAGGGCTTTTATCTGCTTTGACTACCAACCATTTTGCAGCATGGGGAATGAATATTTCATTCTAGGCAGTTCTCAGCATGAATACAAACTATTTTTCTCTTTCTTACTCTCTCAGCTTCATTCCTTTGGTGATAGCTATTGAAGCTGTAAAGTGTGGTGCTTTCTACTGCTGTAGAAGTTCATCTGGAGGCTAGTGGACCCCACAGTTCTTAGGTTTGTGAGAGGTTCAGTGGGATAAACACTGTTGAGAAGGGTGCTCATGATCTTTCCCAGCAGGTCCCAGAATTTGTGCCTCTCTTAATTTGGTTTAGAAAGCTGTGATCCTCATTGACCTAAAAGTGGGAAACTCAGGCAGGTGTGGCTGATTTCTGCAAACTGTCTGCTTCCAAAAGCATTTCCCTCTTGTTTCAAGTTAAGTCCTAAAATTATTGTGAAAAGCACAGTAATTTTCATTGAGCCAAAGGGTTAATCATCTGTTAGCATCCTAAGTACTTATGCTTCTAAAGTTAGTGTGAGAAAGACTCTTTCATTTTATCTGCATAGGTTCAGCTCCTTTTGCAGGTTTCCTCTATTGTCGTCTTCAACCCAAGGAGGTAGGAAGGGTACAAGGCCAGGTTGGATGGGGCTTAGAGCAACCTGGTCTACTGGGAGGTGTCCCTGCCTGTTCTGGGGGGTTGGAACTTGATGATCATTAAGGTCCCCTCCAACTCAAACCATTCAATGATTCTATAGGACAGAGGATTTTTGTCTTCCTGCAGCATCCTTCTAGAAGAACCCAGGGCTGCTCTTATGAGACAGCATATTTTCAGTGCTGAGTAACTGTAGTGCAGTGCAGTGCTGCCCAGTGGCTCTGTTTTGTGGCTACCAGAGTGGGCTTCTGTGCACTTTGACACATGGCTGTGTTATTTGGAAAGTGTTCCGTTTCCTATGGGGCAAACAGTACTATAGCTGTCATCTGACCAGGGGAGTTCTCAGTTCTTTTACTTGAGTGGGTGACTGCTTGGATCAATCACTGCTGTAGCATTTTCTGGAACTCTTTACTGAGGTTTATTTGAGATTTGCTTGTTTCTGCTTAAAGTTTGTTGGGAGACAAGATCTTCAAGATCTGTGGTTTACTTCTTGCCCTTGGGAATGACTTTGCATAATTGTGCTGACACCTTGGCCAGGTGTAAGTGTTGGTTTCTCAGTTTAGTGTTCAGGGCAAACAAAAAATCAGGGAACAGAATTGCTCTCTATTAGCCTCCCTCCATCCTCACAGGGAAAGATAAAAAGAAAATAAAGAAGAGTAACTTAAAGGTCAGAAATTAAAACTGGAGCAGATTTACTGGAATAGGGAAGGAAAATAACACATGGGAGAAGGAACAAAAATATGCAAATATATACAAACCCCAATCTCGATGATTGCAGAGATTGCAAGGTCTCTTGCAGCAGGGCTGGCTCAGGAGAGGGGTCCATGGCTCCTCCCAGCACACGATGAATTTGCATCCTGCAGAATGCATCAGATTAATGACAAAAAGGAAGACCTCTGAGTGCAGAAGCAAGGAAGTAGAGCAGGAAAAGGGACTGGCTTTTAGTCCTCCTGGCTTTTATAAAGTATGTCAGGCAGTGGGTGGGAATAGTCACTTCTTTCTGCTCCACCCCTCCGGAATCTCTCAGGATCCTAAAGACCCTTCTCTAGCTTCTTCTGTTGGTACCACAGAATTAACCTGGTCCCCTCACACCGTAACAGTTGGATTGCCAAGTTAAAACAAAATGGTAGAACTGCTCACTAACGATAGAGGGCAAGGAGGATTCTTCAGGTCTACAGGAAAATAACAATACTGATTTGAAGGACAGGCATTCAATAAAGTTGGGAGCATTCCTATTCACTACCAGGGGAATACTAATATAAAAGGAATAATAGTTATTGGTAAGTTCCATATTGGCTTCTTACTCAGGAATTTGTGTCACAAAGAACCATCCTGTGCCATTCAGGTTAAAATCTGGGACATCCCCAAGCACTTGCTTACAAGAAACATTACCAGTCCGAAGAAGGAACTTCTTGGGCATGTTCGAAGAGTGGGTCTTATCGAATGGCATCCCACTGCCAACAACATCCTCTTCAGCTCCGGCTATGACTACAAGGTGGGTCTGTTCTCTGTAGAGCTCTCCTCCCGGGACACCCTGGTCAGCACAGCTTTTTGAAATTTGTTTTAATTTCAACCTGTAGGATAATACTAAAGAGTTCAGAACCCTTCTTCAGGGAAAGTTTGATGGTCATCCCAAAGGCAAAAGGACGTTGCTACAAGTTCAAAAGGACTTGCTGATTTTCCAGTCTTCTAATGAACTTCAGTCTACTCTGCCCTTCTTTTTTACTGAATTGGTTACAATATGCACTACCATGCACATTTATTTTGCTTCATTCTTGTGCTAGTGCAAGTATCTGCACTGATGCTGGCCATTTTTAGTTATAAAATGTGTTTGCAAAGGAAATTAGACTATTGGATGTTCCGAGCAGATACTGTGTCCCTAGTATATTGCTGTAAACACCAGCAGTTACTTAAAACGCTGGAGAACAACCACATACAGTAGGAAGGCTTATAAATGTAGAGAAAAAAGGAGAAAACGAATAGGATGCATGAAGAACCCAGTCAGTCAGGCAGTAAAGGGCTGATTTTTTTTTTGTTCTTTTGCCACCAGATAATGATCTGGAATCTTGACATCAAGGAGACTGTCATCTCGAACCCAGTGAAGATCCTTGATGTTCACAAAGATGTGGTCCTTTCCATGTCATTCAACACAGATGGTAGCCTCCTAGCCACAGCCTGCAGAGACAGAAAGATACGTCTGATAGACCCTCGTGCAGGAACAGTCCTACAAGTAGGTTGGATTCACAGTTTTGTGTTCCATCTGTTCTCACCCCTCGGTATGTTTCATCTTCCAGGTAGATTCACTGACATTAAAAAAGGCTCATCTGTACCCTGTGTTGCTCAAAGTACCAGATGGTGTTACTGCCTTCTAGTTTTTGTGGAAAAGTCACAGTTATTGCTGAAAACAGGGTTTCTGCATCTTGCTACCATTCTCATTACTCCCTGAAACACTTGTTGAAGTGCACTGTTTTTGTAGCTCCCACCTGCAGTCCTCTGTGGGATGCCATGCATGGGCCTGGATAGGTGGATGCACGTGTAGATTTGTTCCACTGCCAGGGCTGTTCTTTTTGCCTGTACTTTGTACCTGTTGGTAAGGTGGAGGTGACTGTGTTTTGTAGCTACTTGCACAGATTTGTGTACACAAGAATTCCTGTCTACAAATACTAGGGATTGCAAATATGCGGATCAATACTTACAGAGATTTAATGGACTTTCAGGAATGGTCCTGGATAGTTCAGGACACCTTTCTCAGATCCCCATGAAATTCTGCTCACTATAGTTCAGGCAGGCTGAGCTGATCCTTCAGATTTGACTGAATCAGAGGTCTCATGTAACATGAAATGTAGCTATGCAAGAGGTGCTGTCTCTTACTCGCTAAGTGTCCTTTCTCTTCCTATAGGAAGCCAACTACAAGTCTCACAGAGTCAATAAAGTCTTGTTCCTTGGAAACATGAAAAAGCTGTTCTCTACTGGAACATCTCGGTGGAATAATAGGCAAATTGCATTATGGGATCAAGTGAGTTGGATTAGCAGTCTTACCCATATCAGCTTCAGTTTTCTCTCTTTTACTCTCACTTTAAACTTCTTCACCTGCCAAATTGCTGGTTTATAACAGCAATTCAGAATTGATCTGTCAAACTTATAATGGGTGATATGCCTTACTGCTATGACACTGTTAACTGAGCATGAGTTTCTGCAGAAGCTCTTAAAACTTTTAGCATAGAAATGCACCAGAACAAACAGAATTCTGTGACCAATACAGGATGAAATCTTTCAAAGGACCTTTGGGTGATCACTGTAGCTCTGACTTAAAAGCAGCTTTTACTATTCTTACTGGCAAATTGTGAGTGGTACTGGAAAGAGAAATGTGTGCTAGACAACCCTACTCAGGTGAAGCCCTCAATGGAGAAAAAGATGTGGGATGTTTGTGATTTCTTATGATTCTTGACATTACAGTAATGAGGTAGCACTTACTGGTCACTTGACATGATATCCTATAGTGAAGGCTGATAGCCTTATGAAACCATGCTCTTCTCTGCCTGTCTCATACACAGTGAGATGCTTTTCCTTTGTCAGCATTGCGCTTTGTCCTCTTCATATCAACTGCCTTGCAGCACAGTCTTTTGCTTCTTCATTGTGTTGTCACCCTTTGGGCCAGACAAAGCAGTAAACCAGGCCAATGGTTTGCCATTTGGCTATTTTTGGAAATGGCTTCTTAGCATATGTGAGAAGCAAAGTACTGTGCTGCTGTCTGAAGGCTTTCCACAAAGCTAAGCAGTGCTCTGACACACTGTGCTGGAGGAGCTGGCCACACCTAGTTTGAGAACTCAGTGGGAAGGCCTGCAAGGCCAGGTGTGTGCAGCCTCCTTAGGGACAGGCATTGGCACAGGATATGCCCAGCAGGCATCTTTCAGAGGCCCATGTCCACCCGTGTCATCATCATATCCAAAGAGAAGCTCTGGCTTTCTGGAGCCTGCAGCTGAGCAGCTCTGCAGGACAGAGCATTTATTAACCCTGTATAAATATTTGTGTGACAATAGCCACAATGGCAGCCACGGGTCACCATACTCTGCCTTATTGGTCCTCCTGGCATTGCTCCCATCAGCAGTGCAGGGACAGTGCTGTATAAGACATGCCAACTTTGTGTATGGAGCAGTGTGCTATGTCCTCCTACAATCCCTATAGAAGACCTGGGGTTGCCAGTGGATGAATAGATGGACATGAGCCACCAATGTGCAATTGCAACCCAGAAGGCCAACTCCATCCTGGGCTGCATGAAGAGAGGTGTGGCCAGCAGATCAAGAGAGGTGATTCTGGCCCTCTGCTCTGCCCAGGTGAGACCTCACCTGAACTACTTTGTCCAGCTCTGGAGCCCCCAGCACAAGAAGGACCTGTTGGAGTGTGTCCAGGGAAGGGCCATGAAAATGGTGAGAGGGCTGGAGCACCTGTCTGATGAAGAGAGACTGAGGGAGTTGGGGTTGTTCATCCTGGAGAAGAGAAGACTCCAGGGGGACCTTATAGTGACGTTCCAGTACCTGGAAAGGAGCCTGTAGGAAGTCTGGGGAAGACGTGTTAAGTAGAGCAAGTAAGGCTAGGACAAGAGGTAATGGTTTCAAGCTAGAGAAGGGTAGATTTAGGTTGGATGTTAGGAAGAAATTCTTTAATAAGAGGGTGGTGGATCAGTGGAGCAGGTTGCCTAGAGAGGTGATGGTGGCCCCATCCCTGGAGACATTCAAGGTGAGGTTTGATGGGGCTCTGAGCCATCTGTTCTACTGAGAGATGTCCCTGCTTATTGTAGGGGCGTTGAATTAGATGACCTTTAGAGGTCCCTTCCAACCCAAGACATACTGTGGTTCTATGATTCCATGGCTTACCTGCAAAAAGCTGATGGGAGCCTTTGCCCTTGCAATGGGCAAATTCCCACTGTGCACTGTGGAGACTGCTCGGCTGCTGGTGCACTGTTGTAGATGTGTTGCCTTGTTTAGAGGTAGTGAGGAAACATGAGTAATTCTGTGTGCAATGCAGACACGTCCTGAAGGCCTCTCCATCTTGCTGAGTCTGGTGGCTTGCACAGTGGCAGGCAGTGTTTCTTATTGTACCTACCCCTGAAGTGTCATCAGGTGCCTGAGATTTTAATGTGCTAAGAATTGATGGTCTGAGGTGCTGCACTCAGTTAAGAGCCAGGGAAAGAACATCCATTTCCCACCCAAGGAGCTTTGAAGAAGCCTGTGCATGACTGCTTGCTCAGGGCAGCTGTCCATAGCCTAGCATCATTATGGAGCTGTGCTCACATGCCTCTGCCAGGTGAAATTCAGTTAAGGCATCCCTGACTTAAGGTAACTGACAGGTGATTGCAGCTGTCTGTTCTTCCTGTGTCCTTCCTAGAATGACCTTTCTGTGCCTTTACTGGAGGAGGATCTGGATGGCTCCTCAGGACTCCTGTTCCCCTTCTATGACTCAGACACACATATGCTTTACGTAGTGGGAAAGGTAAGTCCTTTCCAAATCAGCAAATGCTGGCCTGTGTGATTCTGCTTCTGACCTGTCTTGCATAAAGCTGAAGTCAAAGATGCTCCTGAAGCATATATGGCGTATATGGGCTGATGGGATGGGCCACTGCAGATGAACCATATTTTCTGCTGGGAGGTACACTGCAGGGCCCTGACTTCCCCACATGGGAATTTGGAGGTAAATATTTGGTCCATTTTTGACCCTGCTTAGCTTCTTGTGACAGATGTTCCTCTCAGACCTTCATGCTGGACAGCAGAGCCTGGCTTACGTTCATGTTCTTGGTCTTTAGGGTGATGGAAATATACGGTACTACGAGATAAGCCCTGAGAAACCATACCTGAACTACCTGATGGAATATCGTTCTCCTTTACCACAAAAGGGAATTGGTGAGTGGCAGCATATGTCTAATGTTACAGTTGGATGGTGACTTCTTTGTTTTAGAGGCTGGTGGGCGTCCAGCTCAATCCAAAGTATCATTTAGAAATCAGAGTGGGTCCAGTTCCAGTCCCCATCCACATCTACAGGTGCACAACAGTCAGTTTGGCCCAGCTCACCTATATATCACAGGTAGTGTTACAGGGTCACAGCTTGGAGGGATCCATTCTGGGATGGGCCAGGCAGCTTTACAAGACACTGCTGTATCTTCTGTCACATACCTGGTGAAGCTGGAAGGGAGAACAGTCTAGATTAAAGGTGGAGGATGCTCCTTGCCCTTCGTGAATCTGCTGCAAGATTTTTGGTATTGAACTCTGTTAACATTGTTTCCACTCTGGGATTTCTCTGATAATGGGTGCTCCACATCTTAATGCCTTCACCCTTATTGCTGGCTTACCTATTCCTCTACTTTCGTTTTCCATTTAGAGATAGACCTGCTGTGATTAGGTAACCTCTCCTCCACTGGAGACTTTTGCTTATTGCCCTGCCTGCATTCAACCCACTGTTGACTCATTCAAGCTACAGAATTTGACTTTCAACCCTCAAATCCTACTGACAGCTCTTTCTTGAACCTTTTCCAGTTTACTCTGTAAGCCATATTCCACTATAGACTGACATGTTTCTAGAAACATGTGCCACCCCTCCACACTACCTGTGGACACTCCCATTCTTTCAGAACATCAATACAGATATTTAGCAGCATTCGATTTTATGTCTGCAGGATTCCTTAAGATAAGTTGGCTACAAAGGAATACATTATTTTAAAATTAACTGCAAGATCTCTTTATTATTCAGCCTTTATAATTGTTCCAGTGTACAGCATCTTGATTTTATGTTGTTGTAATCTCTTTAAAAATCATTCATGAGAAGGAAGTGTACAAGTGTTTTTACAAGGCCTGGGCAAATAAAATCTACTTCGCTAACCAGACCTATTCTGCTGATCAAACGTACTGCTGCAGTTATTGCACAAAAGCTTCTCTCCCAGTATTGCCAAAACAAAATGCAATGTAGAGGAGTGGAATTTAAGTTCACATTTAGATTAATGCATAGTGTAAGGAGGAACAGTCCTTCACGCAGAATCTACTGTTTAATGAAGTAATTTGGTATTACTAGAAAACAAAGCTTCCTTAGGACACCATGAAAAAAGGTCTACAAGGAGAGATGATCTCTTTTGTTAAGGGAATTGACATGATTGTAGACTTTGAACTGTACAAGCTTATGGGAGAGAAATCGTCTGAGGTTACCAGGTACTTAGAGACATTTGTGGCTAAGTTAGTCCTGAAACACAAATGGTTCTGTGTGAAAAAAGTTGATATTCACACCCTTCGTGTACTCTGTTCTGCTTTGGGACAGAGTTGGGGGAAGGCATATTGGGCTAGAAGGACTTTCAGCCTCACCCGTAATAGTTATGCTGGGGTTGTTTAGGTGTCCTGAAATCCCTTCCTGGTGATCCTGAGAGCTGAATACTGTGGCATCACCTGCCAGTTCTGCTTAGTCCTGGTCACTATGCAGCTTATAAGAATAAATAAGGAACAGGAGGCTTTGCATGAAAACCACAGATCCTCTGTGTAACTCCGTGGTCTGACAGAATAAAGTAATATTTAGTATTATCATTTGTTACTCAGTATTTAGTATCGTCATGTGCCACTGAGCCAGTTTGCCAGTTTTGGCTGCAGATTTCAGACCATGCTGCTGTGGAGCTCATGCAGTGACTCCTTCTGTTGTTTGGTGACCCTTTTTCTGTGGAGGATGACACTAACTTTCCTAGAGAGACTTACACCCCATTTGTTTCATGCTGTCCCACCAGGAATGATGCCAAAGAGAGGCCTTGAAGTGTCAGCTTGTGAGATTTTCCGTTTTTACAAACTGATCCCAGCTAAAAGCCTGATTGAGCCCATCTCCATGATTGTGCCTCGACGGGTAAGTTAACCCCAGGTCATGTTCTTGTCTGCGATAAGTGGGCAGTGAAAAAGTGGGCAGTGCCTCCTCTCTGTGACTCAAAGGGACAGGAGAGTAGGCAGAACAAGGGATTTTCTCTGTTTTGGTCTGAGGGACAAAGCTGGTCATTTTGTGCATCAGCCCTGCCAACAAACCCTGGCCATGTAGCTCAAGAGTTAGGTCTCTGTGTAATGGCTAACTTTCTAAGACATGCTCACCAATCTCCTCTGCTTGGGTGCTCTCTGACTGTCAGGTCAACTAGGTGGCTCTTGGTAGTGTCTGTTTGACATTAAGGACAAAAGAGAGAGAGGGGTTGGGGATGATCTTGGGTGACATTCTTGTGCAGGGAAGAAGAATAACCCCTGAAAAAAGGGAATTATACGTTCCCGGGTCTCTACCCAGTGGGTGCAGTTGTGTTACAGACACTTGTTCTGCAGTGTATAAGACACGACCCATTGCAATGAGAGTGATGTAGAAGTAAGTCTCAGAGCTGGTGTGGCTAGAGAATGATCATGGTCATGAATCTGTAGCTAGCCAAGGTAGCTACCGTGTGGCCATGTGAGCAAAGATACATTGGAAATGTCAGCACTGTGCCCTGTACTTCCAGAAGCACTGGAAGCTATGAGCACCTTGAATTCAGAGAGGCAGCAGAGCTAATACCAACTACCAATCAGGCATGTTCCTCCAACATTATCTACTGGTCCAGTTAACTAATATATTGAGAGTTGGTTAGCCTGTGTCAACAACCTCTTGTTGTTTGGATGTGTGAAGACCTTAGCAGCAGGA